GGATGAGCACAGGCATTTCCAAGAAAAGTGGAAATTTGATTATTTTTTCACTTTCGTCGAAGATAAAGCTGTATGCTTAATATGCTCAGAGACTGTGTCGACATTAAAAGAATATAACATAAAAAGGCATTACGATACAAAACATGAACAACAATATAAAAACTTAACAGGACAACTCCGGATAGATAAGTTTAATCAAATGGAGAAAAACTTGGGAAAACAACAGGCTATTTTTAAAAATCAAGCTATTTTATCAAATACGGTAGTCAAGGCTAGTTTTGTTGTCAGTCATATACTTTTTTTTTTATTTTTATTATAGAAGAGGCTGTCTTTCGACTTAGCCTTAGAGGAAGGAAGAGGTGGGGGGATGAGAGGCAGGGGGATGGTAGGTGGGGGTGAGAAAGAGAGTGAGGTGGGGGTGGGAGAGAGAGAGTGAAAGGAAGAGTAAATGTGATCACAAGATTGCCTTGTATCGGCAATTAATAGGTCACAAAAATACAATGGCTACAGATTGCCAATTTGGCGGAGATATTTGTGTGATTATATTTGTCTTTCAAACACAGATAACCCATGGATTGCAGGCACAAAAATATAATAAATAGATTTTAAGTTTGTTTTGCATTCATGAACAAATTTCACATGAATTCATGAATAGAATTCACATTGGTATGAAGTTTCAATTATGTTGTTATTTTATCACAGGGCTGCAGAGTCAGTAAAAAAAACACTTGACTCCTGATAATTTTAGTAGGCTGACTCTGATTCCTGACTCAGGTAAAATTAAAAACTAAGTCATTTTAATGGGGGGGCAGAGGTGCTCATAGGGGGTGCCCTACTCTGAACTCTGAAAGGAGCCAAATACTTTTATAGTTAGTAGTTTTAATATTTAACTTACATTAATATTTATTTGAATGTAAACATTAATTTTTAACAAATATTTAATAAGAAGAGAAAGAGGGGTGATAAAATTCAACATTTACATATGTTTATTCTACAATATTTGCACTTCAATTTCACCTTTCCAGAAAAGTTTAGTCCAACTAAAAAGTGTATGATCTAGTTACTCCAGCTTCTTATTCAGAAAAGAAAAATATATACTCTGATCAATTAGTTTCACTCATTCAGAAAAATAGAGTACTCATTTAGAGCAAGAATAATAAAGAATGATTCAAAAATATTCAAATTCAATTAAGTCAAAACAAGTTAACTACTAAACACAAATACTACAAAGAAAACTACATATTTAATAAATTAAATTGTTGCATTTTTTATTTAAACTAAATGAATTATAACAAAATACAAAATTTAAAAAATTAATAAATATAAAATAAATTTTCTTTCATTTAAATAAAAAACTAAATTAAATTTGAAATGCCAGAGTCTGAGTTGACACATTTTTTTCTGACTCCTCTGGTCAGAAATTCCTCCCGACTCCATGACTCTGACTCCAACTCCACAGCCCTATTTTATCATTTCTTATTTTTACCAATGCAAATTTCATTGTACAACAGTGTAGTTTTAAATGTATGTACAATATTGTACATTGTACTGTACATGTGTTTAAATCAACGTACAACATTGTACAATATATTGATTTACAAGTATATTTGGTGCATTGCTACTAAGATAGTTGAAAATGTTTGATAAATAAAAAATTGTTGCTGGAACAGGCTATAACTTTTTAGTTGTACTGTACAATGCCCTCAAAATTAAAAAATATGAAGAAATAATTTTTACTTAATTAATTTATTTAATTATAACTATTAATAGAAAGCAAAATAATTAACAATAAGCATTAATTTGTCAGAACAACTAATAAAGACCTTGAATATATAGATTCTTATTTATGTATTTTTTTCTAAACTCTTTCTGCCATGCATACATTGAGATTGTTTAAGAAATTTATGATAGATTTGATCAGGCTACAGTAAGGCGACCAATGATGAGGGATGAAACCTGATGTATCCAGACCAAATTTTGAGAACTTATCTGGATCTGAATAGAGGACTCTCATATTGCTATAGTCATTTTGGCCATTCAGCCATCTTAAAATTAATTTCAATTGGTTTCTTTAATATAGAATGGAGTATGGTCAGTCAGGTAATAATCACTTTTTAAATTTATTATGTAAAAGTTAAATATGGTTCATTAACTTCTGTCTTAAAGATCAGTTTTATTAAATTGTGCAGATTTTTTAAAACAGAAATACAGTAGACCCCCATATAATACGGTTGATAAGTTCCATTATACAGTAGAGTCCCGAAAACTCGGCACTTGATAACCCAGCAGTCCGGATAACTCGGCCACACACTGGAGGGCAAAAAAACCCCTAGTTCATTTTCATTATAGACAGATTTATGTTTCATAAAGTATTTTTTTGAGGTCTGTCTTATCAGGTAAATTACTGTACACTGTATATTCATTAATTTTCATTTTCATATAGTAATGGCTCTATGCCTTCATAAAAGACGTACTTTTCCTTTGTTTAAAGATATTTGGGCAGTTTATTCTCTGTTGTATTCTCAAGCAAACAATACATACAGGTACAGTACAGTATTTTCTGAGGACTCCACACACCTACTTATTCTTTTTTAACCCCATTCCCAATAACTCGGCATTTTCACAAACTCGGCCACCCTTCGGTCCATATTAGGCCGAGTGTTCATTACTCTACTGTATATGAATTTGTGTTTTACAATCACTTAAATACATGAGCCAATCACAGCCTGGCACGTATACAGTTTAGGGACTACAGCTGTTTGAAAGGTTTTTTTGAAAGGTTTTCTTCCATAAAATTAATCGATTCTAGACTAATTTGACTCAACATTTCCAAAACACGTATAATTTTTTTGGGAATAATCCATATAAACTATGCTATAAACAAAAAATTGTAGGATTACTTACCAAGTGTGCACCATTCGATGACGTTATTGCTTAAGCTTGTTTTCATCGTGGAGCGGCACATCGAACGGCAGACACATGTTTCCTGATAAATTATTTTTCTGTGAAAAATTTGCTGAACTTTGGAGACATCATTAATATAAATTTAATTTTTATGGCCATTAAATAATAAATGGTTTTTAGTAGGTCCGCTGCTCATTTAAACTCAACGGTTTGTGCTATATCAGCTATTGGTCTAGATTCAACCAATCCCGTCGCAACATGAGTCGGCGATAACGTTTTACCGTAATATACGAGTTTCTTTTAGCATGTTTATATGAATACGATCACAATTTTTTTGCCATTATATACAAATCTGTATTATCTGAACCCATTTTATAGAGGGTACACTGTATATGAATTTTGAAATTCTTAACTTACCCTTTCCTTTAATAGAAAGTTTAGACTTCAAATTTAAACATTTAGAAGAATGAGAGTATTTTTCTATTTTTTTGAGCTCATATTTAAAATTTCTTTTACTAAATATTTATAACTTTCAATTGTTTGAATTTATCTTCAGTAATTTACAATACTTTCATAGTGTATGGATAAATGCATATATGAATTATATATATATTTATATACATTCAAATTATTAATTTATCCAAGAAAAAAGAATATGGATGTGTGGCTATACACCATATTTTGTGTATATTTTTTAAGTATAGTTTTGGTATAGTTATTTGTCCCTTCCTTTGTTCTTTGTTTCTTCTTGCTTCCAGAACTTTCCTTTCTAACTCTTTTCCCTTGGGTAATGATGACCAGTTCTTGGAACTGGGAGAACAATGGAAGAAAAGAGGACCTGAGGGCCAGTGAGAGGAAGGAAGAACAGTCTTTGTCTCAGACCTCAAGGTGGACAGAAGTTGAATGTGGTGCTCCAGGTTGCATATGGCAATGACTAGAGAATTTGAGAGTCGGTGAAAAGAAAATAGGATTTTATCATGATTACAATGAAGGAGAAATCTAGTGAAGATGACAACAAGAGATTTTCAGAAAAAGGTTCTATGTGGCATTCCACCCAAATTGTGAAGCCCAGCAAAACCCCTGGTATTTCACTCTTTACTATATTCTATTTTTTTCCAAGTTCTCTATGCTCCCTATCATCTCCTTTCTTCCCCTTAGTTTTTAAGTTAGTACATAGCCAAAAACCTATAACTAGTGCTTATTATTTATAACTTATTTGTCACAAACAGTGTATCTTTTGTCATTCCCACCATTAATCTTTATTATATGCTGTGTTGTAATTGTTGTTTATGAAGTTGGAATCCATAAAGAACTTATTCAAATACGCAAAATAAAATATTATTTCCTAAATATTCTTGTCATGTTTCCTTTGTCAGTATTTGTACATTTCACGTGAACTTCATAATGGAAAACATATAAAGTAGAAAGTAAGCAATTCTTAAGTTAACAGTTCTTGAAAGTAACATTCAGATATTTAAAATTAATTATATTTTTATCTTAATTTTTCAGAAATGGAGTAAATATTGGTTTGTTTTGAGACAGTCAAATGAACATTGTGAACAGTTTCTTTTAGAATATTATAAGGACTCCTCTTGTCACGATCTGAGGGGAAGAATTGATCTAAATCAATGCGATAGAGTGAGTTTTCAACATTTAATAATACTTTTTAATAATATATTACTTACATAATTTTAAGTCTTATGTTAAATAAATGCCAGTTAAACTAAAATTTATATACAGTAGAACCTCCATTATCCGGATTTTCGATTATCCGGATTGTTCAAAATAAACAAAAATTTTACGAATTAGCTGATTTTCACTTGGCGAATTACGNATAGTTTTGTTATAGTTATTTGTCCCTTCCTTTGTTCTTTGTTTCTTCTTGCTTCCAGAACTTTCCTTTCTAACTCTTTTCCCTTGGGTAATGATGACCAGTTCTTGGAACTGGGAGAACAATGGAAGAAAAGAGGACCTGAGGGCCAGTGAGAGGAAGGAAGAACAGTCTTTGTCTCAGACCTCAAGGTGGACAGAAGTTGAATGTGGTGCTCCAGGTTGCATATGGCAATGACTAGAGAATTTGAGAGTCGGTGAAAAGAAAATAGGATTTTATCATGATTACAATGAAGGAGAAATCTAGTGAAGATGACAACAAGAGATTTTCAGAAAAAGGTTCTATGTGGCATTCCACCCAAATTGTGAAGCCCAGCAAAACCCCTGGTATTTCACTCTTTACTATATTCTATTTTTTTCCAAGTTCTCTATGCTCCCTATCATCTCCTTTCTTCCCCTTAGTTTTTAAGTTAGTACATAGCCAAAAACCTATAACTAGTGCTTATTATTTATAACTTATTTGTCACAAACAGTGTATCTTTTGTCATTCCCACCATTAATCTTTATTATATGCTGTGTTGTAATTGTTGTTTATGAAGTTGGAATCCATAAAGAACTTATTCAAATACGCAAAATAAAATATTATTTCCTAAATATTCTTGTCATGTTTCCTTTGTCAGTATTTGTACATTTCACGTGAACTTCATAATGGAAAACATATAAAGTAGAAAGTAAGCAATTCTTAAGTTAACAGTTCTTGAAAGTAACATTCAGATATTTAAAATTAATTATATTTTTATCTTAATTTTTCAGAAATGGAGTAAATATTGGTTTGTTTTGAGACAGTCAAATGAACATTGTGAACAGTTTCTTTTAGAATATTATAAGGACTCCTCTTGTCACGATCTGAGGGGAAGAATTGATCTAAATCAATGCGATAGAGTGAGTTTTCAACATTTAATAATACTTTTTAATAATATATTACTTACATAATTTTAAGTCTTATGTTAAATAAATGCCAGTTAAACTAAAATTTATATACAGTAGAACCTCCATTATCCGGATTTTCGATTATCCGGATTTTTCCTTATCCGGACTACCTTCATCCACAATTAGTCCGGATAATCGAGGTTCTACTGTATTTTTAATTCTTATTTCATGATACTTATAATTTTGTTTTTATTTTTTTAATTAAATGTTTACAAATTTTTATTTCTTGTTATATGAGAGGAGATCAATAAATAAATTTTGGTGGTCTGACATCTACATTAAATGATTTGTAAGAAGGCAGATTACATTTCAAGATAGCAGCTACTGTCATATGTATAGGTTGTTTGTTGTGATGGTACTGGCATGTCCTGGTCATGTACATCAGACATTTTTTGGAAGTGTTTGCCATCCCAAATATGTCTATTGTATTGTTGGCAGGAAGAGATGGCAGGAATTCGAATGTTAGAAAGAAGTCTTTTACAATGCTGTCAGTGTCAGTTTCATGATATTTCTGGATGTAAATACTTTAGCTTTTATCTACAAGAAATGTAAATTATCAAAAATTGAAAGATTTGTTAAATGTGTTTGATAATATCCACATTTATATGATAAAAATAAAAAAACAATGCATAATGTGTAAAGACACTTTATTCAAATATAATATGAATGGCTTACATTTGTATTATATATGTAATTTGCATTTACTTTCTTAGCCAAAAGCATGAACTGAAAGTGTATTTTCTGTTTGTGCAGTTTGATTTTATATATGTATATGTTCAGTGGAATCTATACATATATATCTGGTTAACTTGTATCAGTCAGGGAAAAGACTATGGACTTAAGCTTAGTTCACACTGAGAGCAAAAGTGTAAAACAGAGCGAATAACTCATCAAACATGACTTGTTTGGCAGGTTTTTTGCTTTCGCCAGCAAATTGCACTCAGTGTGAACTAAGCTTTAGAGTTAAAAAGTTTGGAGGAATTCAAGTTAACCAGTTTGATTTACCATGTTAGGCTAGACAATTGAGGAAAGAAAATGATTTGGAGTAAATGTGACTTTGAGTTAACCAGGTTCCATTGTATATATTTCAGGCTTTATATTAAGTTATTAAATTCAAAAAATTAAATGAGATAAGTTGTTTAAAAAAAACAATTATAAATACTTAGCTTAGATGAAGATTTTGACTCATTTAGAACTCAGATTTAATGACATAAGTTAGTAGAAGTTAGTAACTTTCATCTATATATATAAAAATGAATGTATGTGTGTCTGTCCTTCACGCATTATGACACCGTTTATCCGATTGCCGTAAAACTTTGGGAAGTTGTTTAATATACTCCCACAAAGGTTTCTGGCATAGTATGATTACCATGAAACTTTGGAAAGTTTTTTAATACACTCCTGCAAAGGTTTCTAGCATAGTACATTTATCCTACGATAGATGGCGCGCATTATATGAGCATTTTACTGTGTGTTCGATCGATTTCAAATTGTGAAGACCATTTCCCCCTCCAAAAAATATCTCTATATATGCATTTGTGAACTGTTATTTATGATATTTGTAATAATTTTTGTTTAATCACTTTATTTCAACTTTTTTTTTGCTAATTATGTATTCGCTCGAACTTTGTTAAAACCTTAACTGTATCCCGAACAACAACCGAAGTTGTAGGA